TTTTTCCACATCTTGTTAAAGAATTCTGGATACATGCAATTGCTTCTCCAAAGGTCATCCTCTCTTTCGTGATGGGTAAGGAAATCTCCATTACTAAAAACCTAATGAGAAAACTTCTAGGTTTTGAAGGAACTGGAGTAACTGGAATTGCTAGTGGAAGAATGGAAATGTCAAAGGTTTATGCATAAATCTTTACAAATGGGCAAGGGTATTCAAAGGTCAAAGACTTGAAAAATAAGTACAAGATATGGGCAAGAATAATCCATGGTTGCATTCATCATAGGAAGGAAACTAGCTCTCCGGACTATATAAATGCTGACCAACAATACTTGTTGTTCTGTCTTGGAACAAATATCAAAATTGATTTACCCTATCTCTTGTTTGATCATCTCTTGACTCATGTGAAAGAAACGAGAGAAGCAGAAAGAATGAAGAACCCAAAATCCAAAAGGAATTGGATTCCAATGGGGAGACTGATTTCAGACATTCTGACTGAGAATGGTCTGATTGCTCACCTGGATGAAGCTAATCTGCTGGGGGAGTTAGAGCCTACTTGTGGAAAGGCTCTGACTGGCAAGAACTTGGTGAAGAGGAAGATTATAGACAAGCTGCTGATAGAACCAACTCCTTTTGTGTCAACAACTGTTAAGAGAAGGAGGATTCCAATTGATAATTTTCCAATGTTTAACTCGATGATCATCCATGCATCATCCTGCATTATATTCAAATCTGTAAAGAAAGTGGAACACCCATTGATCCTGTCTGGCTGCAAGGAAGACACGAAGCTGCTCCAGATGTTGTTCTTCAGCAACCTTTGAAGAGGAAAGCTGTTGAAGGACCTTCTGCCAGACCTCAGAAGAAGAAGAAAAATCAGGTACACCAACTAAAATTGTATCTGTTTATGATTCTGAAAATATATCTACATCTGTTGAACCCCAAACCCTAGGATACATAGATGTTGATATAGACCTGACCATACCCTCTGATCCTATTGCTGAAAATCCTCAAAGAAATCAAGTTTTATCAGACTTGAGTGATTTTGACTCTGATGATTATTCTGATACCCAAACAGAACCCTCTCACTCAGAACCCTCTCAAACACCTACTGAAAACCTTTCTAGACCTCCTCCCAGACCATTATCACCTAGACCTACTGGATGGTATGATGCTGGCTCTTGGAGAATACCAGGAATCAACGAACCTCTGGCCACTCTAAAGCCTCCATTCAACCTACCTTCTGAAAACATTTTTGCCTTAAACAGAACACAAACACAAAATCCTACCCCAACTGCTGACAACACCATAATTATATCACCTGACATCTCACCACCCACATCTCCACAACTTCCAACTCCTAACTCACTTATGCTCTCACCTACTCACATTCCAGAACACCAAACTCTTGAACCATCAGAAACAATTGAACCTTCTGAAACTCATGCATCATCTGAACCTCATGATCAATCAGCAACACCTGACCCTTTTGACCAACCTCACCAACCTCACCATTCAACAACTTCTGGACAAACAGAAAATCCTGAACCTGCTAACTTTTTAAGAATTATAGTTGATTTTGAATCTCTACAATTTCTGAGAAACAAAACTTTCAAAAAGGCTGTCCCAAAACCTGTTCAGCCAGATGTAAATATATTCTTTCAGAATTTTTTAACAGAAGTTCAAGCATGGTTGAACCTGCTGAAGGCAGATTGCACCAGAAGTGTGAACCCAGCAGCAACAGATCTTCTGTGGGAAACATTCAGAAGAATGTTAGATGTTGAGTCACTGAAGCTGCAAGATTTATGTCACTATCAGGTGATTGAGAACTTCTCCAAGCATCTGCATGCCTTTCAGTCAGAAGCTGCTGATATTTGGGACAAGAAGTCTTTTCTGATGATTGCTGATGCTCCAGCTGATGAAATGGACATCTCAGAAGATGAATCTGAAGATTCAAATCCTCTGGAAATTGTTCTGTTGAATCAACCTTCTGCAAAAGCTGCACCTAAACCAGTGCCAACTCTTGTGATGGATATGGACACTCTTCTGTCAACTTTTGTTCGTTCTGACTCAACGGTTGCTACTCCAAAGGCTGTTTCTGCTGAAGCTTCTACTTCCTCTGATCCTACTTCACTTGTAATGGATACTTTGAATAAGCTCAAGAGGGATAATGAAGCTATTCATGAGCACTTGGACAAGAAAGATCAGACAAATCAAGAAATCAGAACATGGATGATGAAACAAGAGGAATCTGCATCTGAGATCAAGAATCTTCTTATGACCCTTGTTTCTAAGAAATCTTAGTGTCATTCTATTTCTTATTTTTATTTTTTGTTTTGTTGAACCTCTGAATCTTTTATTAAATAAATTTTTTACGCTCTTCAACTATTTTTATATCTACTTTTTGATTATGCCAAAAAGAGGGAGAAATCTCAGAAGAAAAATTCCAAAGCTCTGATGAAAATTCTCAGGAAGTTTTTCTTATAGAAATATTTATTTCAGGGGGAGATTCCTATCTCTTATTCAAATTTATTTCTATATCTGAATATATTTTTGTCATCATCAAAAAGGGGGAGATTGTTAGAACAAGATTAGTTCTGATCATATCTCAGAGTTTTGATGATAACAATAAATTATATTTTATATATTTGATACTCTGATGAACGTATTTAACTGTTTCAGGTAATGTTCTGACAAAAGCATCTTGAAGTGCTGAGCTGAAAATAAATGAAGAAGTTCTTTGATGAAAGAACTATTTTTTTAGCGCAAGTGCTGATGCTGATGTTGTCTCTGATAATGTTCTGACAAAAGCATCTTGATGTGTTGAGCTAAAAATAAATGAAGAAGTTGTTTTGATGAAAGAACCTTTTGCTTTAACTCAAGTGTTGATGCTGACTCTGGTAAGATAATTATTTTATTACATCTTCTAACGCTTAACAAGTTTCTGTGTAAGCTATGTTTCAGAAGTTCTTTGAAAGCAAGTGTTGTACAGAAGATATTTGAAAGCAAGTGCTGTTCAGAAGATATTTAAAAGCAAGTGTTGTTCTGAAGATATTTGAAAGCAAGTGATGATCAGAAGTTATTTGAAAGCAAGCGCTGATCAGAAGTACTTAGCAAGCAAAGCATTGTTTAGAAGATAAGAAAGCATGTTCTGAATTCAAGACGTGAAGCCAAGTTCTGAAAGAATGCTAAAGCTAACAAGTCTTGTCAAGCTTCAGGAGATATGTTCTTACATAGTGTCGTTTGCTAATTTAATGCAAAGACGGCTACATGCACTCAAGTGTCTACGCTAGTGCATTGGAAAATAGAATAGTGCAAGAAAACACGCAAACATTTAATGCTCTCCATTTGAAGGCAGCAACGGTCATGTTTCTTCATGCTATATATAGAAGAACATTAATTGCAAGCAAATTAACAAAATATTGCAGAACCACTGAAAGGCTGAACAACTGAAGTTCTGAATAGAACTGAACAAATTCAAAAAGAAGCAAAAGCTAAGTGAAAGATTATGGGCTCACAAACAAATCTCATAACCTTGTCTTTCCATTATTGTTGAGCCTTTAAGAAAAAGAAAAGGAGAAACTTATTCAACCCCCCCCCCCCCCCCCCCCCCCCCCCCCTCTAAGTGTTTTCTCCACCTTCAGTTATATCCAATAATTTTATAGTGTGTCTCATCTTTACATGACACCAGAGCTAGAAGAATATCCCCTAGGTCAGTTTATTAGGAGTTCCTGGAAGATGAACAATCAAGGGTGGACCGTATTGCATATGTATTGCCTATATATCATGGTATTGTTGCTATTAGGAGATAAGTCATAGTTAAAGGAGAGTTCCAGAAAGGCATACTCTTAAGAGAGACACTTACAAGTAATTTTAGTAGAGATACACATGCATTGCAGTATAGGAGACATAGGAGGAACAAAAGTATTAGATATACACAATAGTTGTATTTTTATTTGTATTTTATAAACATTTTGAAAATTTGTATAGTTAGTTGTATTTTATGAATGATTGATGTATGATTTACGAATGAGTCGCAAAAAATTGATCTTAGTTATGATTGACTTATGTGTATGATTTTTTGTGTGAATAATATATTGTTTTTAAATGATATGAAAAGTTCTTCCTAATTAGTGTCAAGAGATTCATAATATTGTTCAAAGATTTGTCCAGATTTTAAAACTTGGATCCAACCTCATTGTTTTAGGAGATAGTTTGAAGAGTTTGAATTTCAGATATATTTTTTACTTAGATGGAGGTGTCTTTTTTACAAAAGAAATTTATCGTATATTTTTAAATTTCACCGCCCTAAAACTAAAATGCTTACAAAGACATCTTTGTCAACTTCAAAGACCAATGTTGCTTACAAAGATATTTTTGAAGGATTGCATTTTATCTGAATAAAACAATGACAATGATAGCCGTGATAAAATAATGCTTAGATTATAAGAATTTGAATTGAAACTAATTAGACATGAGTTATTAGACACAACTTCTAACTAAATAAGCTATGTCAAGAAGTTAATTTTAGAAAATGAATGTATTCGGATGATACTTTTGGACATAAAGTGCTTGACACCAAATCCCTTCCAACCTTTCTATTTTTCAACTTCCTATCTAGTACTATTGTTTCTTTTATATAATACCATGACTGGTCCATCAACTTCTGGTATCAAATTAAAAGAAACAAATTACCATAACGTAATAAACTTGTATCAGTTAAACATTGGAAATGATTAAATGAATGTTACTGGTCCTGAAGAACAAAGGGACCGTGAAAAAAATGCCTTCAAAACTCGGTTAAATTTCAAGGATTTCTTTGAAAGCAAAAACAAAACTATGCTCGACATAAGAGACAAATGAGAGCAACAAAATTTGTGCCAGTTTTCAAGAAAATTTCTACATCAAATAAGGTGGTTGGCTTAATTTATTCAGGAAAGAACTCCTCGGGTTATCATCACTAAGTCAAGACAACCTAAGAGTAACATGTTATCTCCAAATGACCTTCAAATAAGCTTCTTGGACTTCTTCTTCTTCGATACTTTAGCAATAGCATCGCACAATTCTCTTTTACGCTTGTTGTTCGGGTTTTCATCTACATCGACGCTTCCTGAATTCTTGCTCTGGACTTCAAGAGCATCCCTAACAAAAAAATTCAACCTCCACAAGGTAGACTCACTCTGCAAAGAAAAACAATATACTTATGATTAGCGTACAGATATAATATAATCAATATCATATCAATTTGATACAAACAGAAGTTGTATTTGTGTTGGACCTGAGCATTGATGTCAAGTTCCACCTCGTCAGCATTAGGTTGGAAGCTTGGATTAGCTTGGGCAACAATATCCAATGCTCTGCTAAGATCCTCCGCAGACAGTTTGGCGAGATCAATACCAAGGTTTCTCTTTTCTGCTGATGACATTTTTCTGTAACATTTTTTTCTCAAATTTAGCTTTGTGAGAGAAACAAAATATTATAGAGCATATTTGAATGAAAATAAGAACTATTTCATTATACACCAAGTACATTTTTAAGGAAACGCGTAAAAACTAACCTGCATCTTTTAACAACCATCTCTCGTAGCTCTTCTAAATGTGAATCAATTTCATCCAGCTGGAAAAAAAAATACAAGGCAACATCGTCTAATAAGCTTCATATGATTCTATCCTAATATTAGATACCGTTAGGATCCTTTGTTTGAGCAAGAAACCAAAATAACAACTCTTAACAACCACCTGACAAACTTATTAACTTACTAACTAACTCTTAAGTACTACTCTAGTTATCTTTAGTTTATTAGACCAATTGTGCTGCATATTGAACTGTTCAATAAAGATGTGAATACCTCATTACTCAAGTCTCTAGCCATTTTAGCATGAGCTGCTTCTTGAGCAATTTGCATGGCTAACTGTGCTTCAGCTTCTTCCTCTTCGCGTCTTGTTTCCTACAATTTCATAACCCCAGATGAAAACAAGTAACAAGATAATGTTCTTAGCCAATATTTAAGCAGTCTCAAAGACTAAATAGGACCTCAATAATAAACAATTTAGTAATCAAATTTAGTCCAACACAACAATTGGTCTAAGGAAACAAATTGTTGGAATAAAGTTACCTCTTCAGTAACTTTTGGCAGAAATTGCAACCATTTCTCTTCAAACTTTTCCAGTAAAGTTTTAGCCATCACATGAACATCACTTCTGTCGTCATTATATTTCATTGCATTCTTGAAAACCAACCTCACATCAGCACATACTTCCCGAACATGCTTATATCCAATACCATCCTGAAGCTCCATTTGGTTCTTAATGGTATTGAAATCCATGGGCTTGTCAATGACCTAACATGCATCATATTACAACAGATTAATCAAAACTCAAAAGCATAAAAAGTTGAATGCAAATTAAAGATGAAGTCATTTAATGAAGGGTGTGCTTGTTTAAGCAAAAATAATTTGCATATATTTTAATTGAATATGCATTTTAAGCTTTATAAACAAGCCGTAAGTGTCTATTAATTAATCCACTACAAAAATGATATGCCAATTATTTCTTAAAAATTACTTTATTTCCATTGTATTTATTAGGAAAAGAGAACGAGTTCCATGACAAGATAAAATAAAAAGAAAAGAGGGCAATGTTTTTATTGAGTCTCGCATCAGATGTGACATGACCTAAGAAAGGTGGAATCCATCCCTCAACTTAAAAGCCGGTTTGGTGTTGACGGGTTAGGCCCAACCCAAATTTTAAGATGGTATAGACCCAGCTACAGGAGAGAATAGGGATGCCTAAAAGAAAAGATGGGCATTAGGGAATGAAAAAGGGGGGTCAAGCCAAAATCAGTCATGAGTTATTTTGCATATTTCAGATTGATCCTGTAGTGGACATTGTCCACGAGGTTGTCTCAAAAAGTTTCAAGCTGTGAGGTGTGGACTTATTATGTGTTAAGGAGACGATGCAGAGTGGTCCTTTAGAATTTCAGAGAATTTAAAGTAGTGGAACTCTTTTCAACTTTCACAAACTATGATGACAAGGTGAATGTTTATGTTCTGGACTGGCCCGACAATTTGAATGGGCCCGGTCTAAGACATTTTCTTTGGTACGACCCGCACGACCATGACCTGGATTGCCCGCTACCTGTCCGGCAATGTCAGCCATTTACCCTCCCGAACCAGCACTGTCCTAGGATGACCGACGAGCATCCTCTCAGCCTGCCCGACATCAACGTCGTGCAGGCCACCAGGAACTGACCAGAGAGATGCCCGTAACTTCTCCTCGGGACCAACGGCTAGTTACGGGCACATCTGCCCAGTTTGATCAAGTACTGACAGTTACCTGATTTCACGGACCCGCATATCCAGGCGCGAAATCAGGAACCAATAGCCACGCACCAGGGGCATTATATATACCCTCACACCTGTAAGGACCAGGTATCGAGTATTCACTATTCACACCTAATACTTTGCTTGTATCTCCTTGTTCCCACTCTTACTTGATCGTCGGAGTGCCTTGCAGGTACAACCCCCTTTTTCTCCTCGACGTCACAGTCCGACTACAGATTATCTTCCGACCACTTCTCAGGTTCTAATCAACCGGTAAGATCAGTTTAGAAGTTGGAACTTCAAATAGTTAGTCAGTGTAGAAATCTGGCCTACTAATTTGTTGTCTTTTGAATGATTTGTTTCCAAAAACAGGAGAGATTTGGTAGTTATGTTACCATATCTCCAAATTACCTAGTTTCACACAATAGATGTTTTGAATACTTGGAATATAAGAGGTTTACATCGATATACACGGTTTTCATCTATGTTATGATCCAGTATTTAGCATAAGGTCGTTGCTAATGCAAATGTAACAATGGAAAACTTGCATGTATACATGTATGAGTCGTACCTATAATAAAGGCCATTACTAATGCCAATGTAACATTGGAAAACATGCATACATATATGAACCATACCTCATAATAATCATTTAAGCCAAGGCCCTCTACATCCACCGGTTGCATAAAAGGCCAAGCCCATTTATGTTGTGTCATCTGACAGAAAAAGAGCATTAGAAAATCTAGTTATAATTCAAAAACAGACAGAGCCATTCACTATCCTAACCTCATCTGTCGTCTAAGACCCGGACAACTTTCACCTCTACGCGTATGGGCTCAATAAATGTACAAAATGTACATAAAAAATATTTATATCTGAATCAAGAGGGAAAGTGCAAGCAATCACACCATGTGACATCGCGAAATGGAATATTAACAATATTTTCTGTTGATTGTTCTAGCAACAGAAATCTTGAATAGAAGTTCGTCACAGATTAATTTTTTTAACAAATAATTCAAAATAGACGCATGTTAAAATGTATTTTTTTCATCATGTCAGCCAAGAATACACAACGAATACAACAAGGATTTCATTTTGCATATTTATCACATAATTACAAGTGAAAGGGAAATTGCCCAGTAAAACATCGATGCGGGAAAATAAGCTTGAGAGTTGGTGTGGTTTTCAAATGAATAAAACAAACCAAACAAATAAATAAAACAAGAGCCTTAATACAAACATTTGACTAAAAGATATTTTATAATCTATTCAATAATACCTAGGTCAGTAATCCTACTTGTTCTATAGCAAGCTTCTCATTTTTCTGTGGTCCATTCACTATTACATTATCTATAACTGTTATATTTAGTTTAAAACCCCTATCATGGATCTATATAAGGCACTTGCATCTATCTATATCTTTCAAATAATGAAATTTAACACAATGGTATTTTTTAACCACGCATAGGTCTTTTTTGTGAATTGTGATTATTTACTTTTAGAATATCAGGGAGAAAAAGAACTGTACAAAAGTATTTACGCCAATGTTATCAATCTCAGATAGCGGCGCGACACAGCCATCTACAAAAATGGAGTGGAACGGGCACGAGGAGCAGAATGGACGTTGTTTTAGTGACGTGGACATTAATACAATCAATACTAGTAAACACATAATTGTTAAAAAATAAAATAAATTAATTGCGCAAAATTAATGAAGTACTCATAGATGGTTATAAAAGTCATAAGTCTTGCGCAAAACACACTTGCAAATGCCAATAAAATTCAATAAAATAATCTTGCTATCGTTAAAAAATTAAGAGTAATATCGTATATGGTTGACGTGGCACTCTCAGCCGCATCAACACGTCGTCATTCCGAATCCAACCCCATTATCATGATTGTTCCAGCCGAGTCATCCATCTGTGCTGGAATGGCACGGCTGTCACAGATTTCTTGGTTATGCTATTCAGTGCCAAGATAACATTCGGAACGGCCGGGTTTCATACGCAAGGAGTTTTTCAAGTTACATATCATTGTAAAGTTATCGACAACTAACACACTGGTAATGGTGCACATATACGTCATATTTCACAACCACGGCAAATCACCACAAAAATTAACGTTAAATGAAAAAACGTTACCTGGCGTAATATTGTGCCAAACTGGCGTATAAGATCTTGCATTCTTTTCTGAGCAGCCACTTCTCTACGCGATGCATCCAGCAGTTGCTTCTTAATACTAGGAACATGCTTCTCCTTATCTTTGTCCTTCGTAGTTGAGTTGCCTTTCAGCACGTCAGTTTGCTTTTTATTCACACTCGAGAAAAAACTACCAATCACTTGCCCTTTCTGCTCGAGCTGCAGGAAAAGAAGCATATTACTTATTAGATATAACTTCTTGGGGTGTAAAATTAAAGAATTTACAATCATAAACAGACACGCAAATGAAACAAAAATAAAACAATAGTAAAAAGCCGCTTAAAAGGTAAGACCACACAGACAGGTTGATATGATATGTCCTTGCTGCTTGCAATAATTACAAAATTTCAGTGAATAATCTTTTGCAATACGACCAAATCTTATACTATATAAGGGAAGTGGATTCTCTAACGTAAGCGCGCCAACGTTAGAGTACCGTTCAATAAATTCAAACCGTTTGATAAATCATATCGCTTAGATAATGCCACGTGTCCACCAATAAATTAAAAAGAAAAAGAAAAACAGATGAACAATGGGGAAGATACGAAAACCTAGAATCTCTTCGGCACTAGTTTTTCCGTGATAACGTTGCCGTTGCCACCAACTCTCATCTCTCTCACTCATGGCATGAAGATCAAATGGCAGCAGTACTTAGTGAAATTGAATTGCAACAGCAACACAATCAGAGCAAATGAAACTAGATCACAAGGGATTGAAAAGAACAGAACCAGAAGAAAGGAAAAACTGTGTGAAATGTAAGAAAGAAGAGATGTAGTTTCTCTGTCGGCGCTCTGCAAACGCTCTGTGATCTTAGCTCTGTTAGCATCAAACCAAGTATTGTTTGCGTCATTTTCGACAACCAATCTCATATTTCAAATCTTCCTTCATTTATTTCTCGGCAGTTTGCATTCAGTTTCGCCGTGTAGCCTGCTGCAGTCCGGCTGGCGATGGTGTAACCGCCATGGACCAACCGTTCATGTAACCGCCATGGCCCAAACGTTACGTGAGAGAGACATAGTCACCGCATGATAAATTTTTCAATAGCTACGTGGCATAAACTGGGTCGCTAAACTTATCAAACGGTCTAAAACTTGTGAAAGATTGAGTGACGTTGGCGCCTTAACGTCAGACAATCCGATTCCCTATATAAGTTGCAAATTAAGACCCTATTTAGATAAACAGCTTAATTTCCTATAGCATGATCGCTTTTTACCATGATAAACACTTACATATAAGCTAATTCGATAACAAGAAACAAAATAAAATTAATTATTAGAACTTACGAAAATAACCTGAAAACAACTTATGAACATGTCATAACTCATAAGTTGTTTTTATGAAGTTCTTTCAAACAGTTTCACAAGTAATTATGACACTAGATCATTTCAAATAAGTCAATCTTAACATCTTAGAATTCGTATCGAGCCTAACTCAACCTTACAAAACCGGCTTGTAAGGTGAAGATTGCACCCACTTATAAACAAAATCAGTTATATCATATCATATATCATCTGACGCAAAACTCTTTAACACTAGATGATCTCATATAAGTCAATCCTAACATCTTAGAATTTGGATGGCGTCTAACTCAACCATACAAAACCGGTTTGTAAGTTAATGATTTCACAAACTTGTAAACATATATTCAAGTCATATTTCATAACACTAGATCATCTCAAATAATCAATTCCAACATACCCTAAGTTATTTATCCAAACAATGTCATAGTTAAAAATCGATCAACACATACAAATGAAGCATCATCCCTAAAAAAAAAACACAGTGCCTAGTTCTCAAAAACACGATCCATTTGAATTTGATTGAACAATATCATATACTTACCTGATCAACTTTCGAAACAAGCTCGTCAACGCGGTTCTTGAAACTTAAACTCTCCATCAATCTCTTGTCTTCTCTTCCGCGACGCAGTTCAGTCACCAGTACTTTGCCTTATGCAGAGGCTGGAAGTGCAACCACCGCTTCAAATTGCGACGGAATCGAATTCTCGGGAGGAGAATGGAAGAAAACGGAGTCTGTAACCGTTTCTGACGGAAAAGGAGACAGCCTGACAGCGGTTTCCGGGCAGTTGAGTTCAGTGAGACATTTTCATACAAAATGCCTAGGCGGCAGCTTGCATGTTTTTTTTACTTTTTATAGAACGCTATTTTAGGGTTTAATTGTTAATATTGAAATTGAAATTAAATGGTGGTAAAATATTTTTTTACTTGACACAATAGATAAACTTGGGTTAAATATTATTTTTAGAAGTGAATTTAAATTAACTAAAAACTAAATTAGATGTATTGTTGGGAGAGATTGAACACATTTTTACAATACACCAAAATTCTAGAAAGAAAAAAAGCGTGTATCAACTTTGATCCATTTGTTTTAAGAATGATTTATCTAATTTTCATATTGTTTCGTTAATATTTATATGTCTTTAACTTTTATAACTTACACTTTGATAAAATTAGTGTTTGTGCTTTATGCTAAATGGGTGTATTTGACTAAGATTTTGTCTTAATGTGCCTTTCAGTTTAAGAAGATTTTTTTTTGTTTTTGCAAGAAACCTATTAGTAAAGATATTTTTAGTAGTGTCTTATATGCTATATTTGGTAAGTAATGATGTTATGGGAACTTTAATCTTTCTTAATTACTATAATAAATATTTTTAATTGATTTATTTTCAATTTTATTTATTATACCAATTAACGCATCAAGTTTTTATCGCGGGTTCAAATCTTTTGTTAATGAAAATGTTTTTATTAAGATGGTAATCTATTATTTGCGCGTATATTTTTGAAGGTTCAAGTATACAATGTTTGGTTTATCAATCTTTATTTATATCTTTTGTATTACATGATGCATGATATTTTCATAAGACATCTAAGAGTTGGTTAGTTTTGTCTTTGTTTAAGTCTGTATTTATTATAATTGGACGGTTTAGTTTCTCATCGAGAAACTCATATCTCAGATTCTTGGGTAATTCCTTAAGCTCTATAGATGGTTTCTTATGACCAGGTATATGGTCAGGGGTAAGTGTAACACCATATTTCTCCGCCGGCAATTTAACCAAATATCATAGTAATTAAATTCACAAAAATAAAATATCAAGAATAAGATGTCACATCTTCATACATCATACATGCTCATATAAAGAGATATGCAACACATAGTCATTTATTCATCATGTTTGAACTTCGTTGCATTTATTCGGAGCGGAAAAACATCATTAGAAATCATTCTCAACATAAGTAATAGTTGTCACAATTCAAAACTTAAACTAAAACATCAATTAAAATTCAACAAAATGGAGTTCTACAATAGTTTATTCTCATCACAATAAAACAAACATGAAACCCCCAAGTGTTACGTATCAGAGCTGACACCGACTCAATCTACGCAAAATGAGGCACTTCTCAACTAACCTCGACCTCGAGCTACTTCGGATCATCTGCATGTTACCCACGTAGAGGCAACATTCAAACAGAAAGGGTGAGATATCATAACAATATAGAAGAGAGCATAATAATGAGTAGATAGTAATTTAAGTATGTATAAATATACTTCTTTACCTCACACTTTTACTTCATCCATCATATCACAAAATTACATCAACATACAAGTGAATATACACACAACACATAAAACTCATCATAATGTGGATCATATTCTTTTGGCATTAAAACATCAAGTCAACAATCACAATGTAATGCAATGAGACCGACATTGACTCAATGCATGTGGTACCAATAGGACAAAACCCTCATCTTAATAATGCCAACTTAGGAAAACAACATCGTAACGCCAATACAGGCCATCTAAGGCATCTCATGGGTGCCACCCACCGATCGCGACCAAGACTGTCCGCACCTGTAAAGCAATACCATCCTCTTTCCCTTCTGACCCATCTCCGATTCAAGATGCCCATCGAGCATCTTCTCAGTCTGCCCGACTCCAGCGTCGCGCAAACCACCAGGGACCGGCCAGAGAGTTGCTCGCAATCAGCCTCCTCCTCAGAACCAATGGCTAGTTGCGGGCACATCTGCCTGGTTTGACCAAGTCCTGGCAGTTACCTGATTTTCCGGACCCGCATATCTAGGTGGGAAATCAGGAACCAATGGCCACGCGTTTGGGGCAGTATATAAATCCTCACACCTGTGAGGGCCAGGTATCACATACTTACTACTCACTACCTGATATTTTGCTAGTACCTTCTTGCTCCCGCTCTTACTTGATTGTTGGAGTACCTTGCAGGTACAACCCCCTCTCTCCTATGCCCGACTGAAGATCATCCTCTGGCCACTCACCAGGTTCTGATCAACCGCAAGATCAGTGGCGCCGTCTGCGGGAATCTGCTATCCCCATCTTTCTTCCCTCGGAACCTAAGATCAAAGCAATTCTCCTTTCAAGATCCATCTCGCATATCATGGCCAACCATAACGATCTTTACCTTTCCGGAAAAACCATCATTTTCCCTGCTCGCAAGACTGATGGGAGCCAGGAACACCCTCTCCTTGAGGACAACCTGGGCCCCCATGATGGACAAACTGCGTCCCCTGATTCCGCTGACGCCCGGCGTGGCGACGACCTACTCTTGGACGAAGGACGTTCCAAGAATCCTGTTGGGGAACTACCAGAAATCTTGCAACCGGTTCCTATCCCTCTCAACACCGACCCGGCCATGGCAGCACTGCTTGCTGCCCTAAATCAGACCAACGCCCTCATCCTTCAACAAAACCAGAGGATAGGAGCCTTGGAAAACATGCGTTCAAGATCTCCTCCCCGGAGGACCCGAAGACGAAGTTCCCCCAGCACATCACCACCCAGGTGTGGTCCACCGCCCAAGAAGGAAAGGCGCGATGTTTCTTTCTTCAAGAAACGCAATCGCACACCTCCTGCCTGAGATCAAGACTCCCCTTCGTTCAAGAAGAGGAAGGACAACAGGCAGATCGACCGCACTCGATTTCCCTCTCCCGAGCCAAAACAAAAACGAAGGAGCTCCTCCCTTCGACGGGACCGCGACGACCGACGGGGGAGAAATTATCACTCTCCTTTTCCATCTCCCATCAATAGTGAATATGACGAGCCCCACGCCCCACTATCCAGAGAGATCACTGGAGCTCCACTCCCCGCCGGCCTAGAGAAGCCGCCCACTCTAGGTACCTACGATGGCACGACGAATCCTGACGAGCATATTGAGAACATCGATGCGCTCTTCACATACAGAGGGGTCAGAGGCGCCATCAAATGCAGACTCTTCCCGAATACTCTCAGGAAAGGGGCGATGGCATGGTACAAAAGTTTTCCCGATGAATCCATCACCTCGTGGAAATAGCTCGGGAAGATGTTTTCAAGGCATTTCACTGCCTTCCGTCGACATCCTAAATCAGAAGCTTCGCTCGAGGCAATCATACAAGGCATAGATGAATCTCTGCGAGCGTACATCGAGCGCTTCAACAAAGAAGCAGTCCAGGTCCCGACAACGGACAACATGAAGAAATACCTGCTCGAGCGGGGGCTCCGTCCCCGTAGCGACTTTGCCAAGGCTGTGGGCATAGAAACACCAGCCACGCTCGATTCCCTTCTCCTAAAGGCCCAGGCATACATACAGTACAAGGATATGGAGGCGGCCAACAGCGCCCGGGAATCCAGGCACAGGGAGAGTGCCAGACCCTCAAAGAATGATGAACCCTCGACATCTTATCGGGGGGGAGAAGAAACGGGAGGACAAATCCCATGACCCAAAAGACTACAAGGGACCGGTTTATCGCTTCCACGACTACACCCCCCTGACAACCTCGAGGGAGTGTATTCTTTCTGAATGCACTAATTTTGAATTCAAGCAAGTCGGGGTGCGCTTCCCCCGATAAACACCGTCGAAGCCAGGAACCGACAAAAGCAAATACTGCAGGTTCCACAAGAGTCACGGTGACAACATAGAGGATTGCATTCACCTCAAGGATGCAATCAAAATATTTATTAGAGACGAGTGCCTCAATCAGTACAAGAAAAAAGAGGCCGCCTGTGACAAAGCACCAGAGATGAAGAATGTCGAGGAAGGGAAGAAATACCCCGACCTCGACACCATTCCGGTCACCCTGAGTATCTCACGGCCGGAAGACTTCTACTTTCTAGACATGGAGGACGTCCCCTTGTACTTATCCATCCACAGTCCATGGGAATCCTTCCCATAGCCATGGTCATTTCCGGCGGAGGGTTCAACAGGCATACGGTCGGATCGGTGAAGAGAAGGTTCGACCAACTCATCGAGGCCAACTCTGAGATGGACGCCACACTCGATAAGTTTCAAGGAGGATCTCACCCCTTTCATTCTACAGGGAAGAGTTATCGGGAGGAGCCCCGAATTCGAGCATCCCACTACTCGTGAGAGCTTAGATGGCTAAGTTTGACGTGTGTCGCATTTTGGTCGACCAGGGCAGTTCGGTGGACATCATGTATACCCAATTGTTCAACACCTTGCAGCTGAACAAGAGCCACCAAACCCCCTACGTGTGTTCTGATCTTCAAGTTTTAAACGGGGCCAGCACGAAGCCATAGGGGGTACGTGGAGCTGATCGTCATTTTTTGCAGGGGGATAACGGACAGAGCCATTAAGACCCAATTCTTGGTGGTAGACTGCCCATCTCTCTATCAATGCATCTTCGGGAGACCCACTCTCGTCGAACTCATTGTGGTCCCGTCCACCGTTCATCTCAAGATGAAATACTACACGGTCGAAGGTTTGGTTGCCACTCTTCACGGGGATATCCAAGCAGCCAGGAGGTGCTTCGAAGCTTATGCGAAGGGCCTCAGGTCCATTAACGCCCATCCTCGAATGGCCACTGGAGCCATACTTCCCTCCAGCTCCGAGGAATCTAGGCCACTGCCGAGGGTCG